TCTCCTAATATTAGTAAATATGCTTTTCGTTACACTGTTTTATCCTCTATCACCTCCTCACCTTCTTTCTTTCTACTTATAATCTGTCTGAACTAGGGAATAGCCAAATCATTTTCCACTAGTCCTCCTCTCTCTACTCTAAAAATTTATGAATTCTCAGTGGAACTAACGAATGCATTAGCTCATCTTCAATCCTCTAAAAAATATATAGCATTTTTTCTCAGTAGTATTGACTAGTTGGGGTTCACACTTGACCAGTGCAGTAAAGTCAGTTTCATATTGCATCATTATTTTATTTCCTTGCTCCAATCTTATGAAAGCCTCATACATTTTTTGTTGGACTGATGGAGGTACAAACTAATCTTTAAAGATATTAATAATCCCTGCCCAGTTAATCTTTGTATTCATCTTTCTCTGAAATTTCTCCTGTTATCATATCCATCATCTCTCAATTCTTCTTCTTATTGAAATACTTTCAATGGTTTTTTTTTGTTCTTTAGACATTGCCTATTATTAAATATCTTCTCTATCCCTAATAGTCAATTTTCTACTGCATGTGGCTCTACAGCTCTCTTGGACAATGGGGGCTTTAACTTATGAAATATTTATAGGTGTTTTTCCTCTTCATTCTTTTTATTTCCAATCTGTCTATTATGCGCATCACTCATCAACCATGCTATTAGACTAGCAAATTCCATCATGCTATTAGAACTCACTTGTGTTACTGCTCTCTGTTCATTTGGAACTTCAGATGGATCCACTGTACTCAGTATAATTCTTTTTTTATCTAATTATAATTCAATCATATATATGCATGGAATAAAGGAAATGAAAGTAAACCTTAACACTACATATTATTACCCATCTCAATAATTTATTATAGCTCTGTTAAAATTCAATTCATTCAATAACTGTTTCTCTGATACCAACTTTAACACCCCAAGATCAAATTTTTAAAGAATTACATATTTTATAATCTTAATTAATCAGCCAGAGTTTCTATGAATTTTTCAATATAAATTAATCCAACGGAAACAACTAAAAATCATATATATATATATATTAATCTCTCAAAATTCATATACAATAACTAAGAGTTTAATTCATGCATTGATCGGTCTATCTTTTAGCTCTTCACTACAAAAGAGTAAAAGTAAAAAAAAAACATAAGCAAAATAAAACTTGAATTTCATATCTGTCCTCATTTTACTGGATCTTGACCCCTTTCTAAAAATATGTAAAATCACAGAGTGAGCTAACAGTCAATAGGTTACCATAATTTGTAATTAAAAGCAATGTAAGGCATTAGAAATAGTATGTATATAATTATTCAATCAATATAAGTATGAACATATAACTATAAAGCATGTGATAGTCATATGAAACAGTAACAAATTATATGATCAGTAAATATCAGTTAATAATAGTGATCAGTAAATAATAATCATATACAAGGGATCTGTAAACTCTATCATTTCTATACTCATTAGTTATATAATAGTTTCTATCTTAGTTCAAAAAATCTATATACATGTCATATTCATATGCAAGTTATATAGTGTCGCTGCTATGCATGTATCTCATATCTTGTTCCAATGTAATGTAACATGTTAATGCATTATATCATGTATGTTATATATAGGGGTGTCAAAATCGGATTTGGGTTGGATTCAGGTCGAATTCGATATTGACCCGCTACTATTTAACATGAACAGAACCTGAGTCGTTGTTTGCAGACGAGTTAGAAATTTCAACCCGAACCCGACCTTTGTGGGTTACCAGGTTGACCCGACCCTATTCACTAGTTCATTTTGTCGTCAGACACAATTTCTCATATTTTTCATCGAGCATGCGTAGCTGCATAGGGCGCGGGAGGCAGAGGAGTTGTCGTTGGTGACACGGCGAGGGTGGGGAAAGCAGCAACAACAATAGCCAGGGGCAGAGTGGTCCTTGGCACGCGGGGGATCAAAACCATAGAGAGTAATGCGACAGAAGAGGCACCCTGTGACAACATAGACGGGACCTTGTAGGCTATCCAATGTGTATATGTTAACGTCGAAGAATACTATGTTGTGGCTAGTGTGGCAGACGGTGAGATTAAACTCCTCGATTCACTGTGGGAACTGTACTTATATGGGAACCAAGTCGGTTCTAGGTTGATGTTGGGTTCTCGGGTTGACCAAACCCCTCGAATTTGCAATTGGGTGAGGATTTTAAACCTAAACCCGACCTGTTTCCCAAAAGGGTTGCCCCTAATCCAAAATTTTAGTTTCGGGTTTGGGTTCAGGTTTTCGGGCAGTGTTAAATATTGGCACCCCTAGCTATATAATCCATATGTTTATATATTCATGTGTCATGTAGTTTATGTAATTTATAATCAATGATTCGTATATATTATATGCTCTTATATCAATCATATTTTGTATCATATATAAATAATATCATGTCATGTTGTTTATACAATCTATTTTATGTGCTCCATCATATGCATATGTAAGCAAGATAAGACACCTGGCTGCCTATGGTATTTTCTTATATCAAGTCTTATTGCTCAATCCTATAGGAATCAATCATATCACAAATCATTTAAGTCATGTGGCTTTCATATTAGAAGTTATCACTTCCTGCTTGTAGGCTTATCATATCATATCATATCAATTTGTTTTTTTATATCTCGATTTTCATATCATTTAGAATTATATTACAAAGATTTTCATATCACCCAATTACAAAGGTCAACCTTAGAGTCTAAAGGTTTTCGCTTGAGTAGATCTAAAACGGAATATATGGAGTGTAATTTTAGTAGTAATAGATCTACTGAGGGGATTCTGACTTTGGGCGATCAAGTCATTAATAAAAGTACACGTTTTAGATATCTTGGATCTATTGTTCAGAGTGATGGTGAAATAGATGGGGATATTATCAGCAGAATTCAAGTTGGATGGTTGAAGTGGAGGAATGCATCGGGCTTGTTATGTGATAGAAATGTACCCCTCAAAATTAAGGGAAAATTCTATAAGATGGTAGTGAGGCCTACAATGCTTTATGGTGCCGAATGTTGGCCATTAAAAGAGAAGCATAATACTAAGTTAAGTGTGGCAGAGATGAGGATGCTTTGGTGGTGAGTGGCTGTACCCTTAGAGATAGGATACGAAATGAGCATATACGTGAAAATGTTGGAGTAGCTATAGTAGAAGATAAGATTAGAGAGAGTCGCCTTAGATGGTTTGGTCACATAAAAAGGCGGCCTTCCGACGACCCAGTTAAGAGAGTAGAGGTATTAGATTTGACTTATGTTAAAAAAGGTAGAGGTAGAC